GTGCGAGTTTGAGAGGATTTGGAGTGGTGCCGCCGGCGTGGGGATTCTGGGCGGCTAGGTTTTGGAGTGAGTTTGAGAGAGAGAGAGAGACGAGGGGTTTGGGGGTGGCTAGGGTTTGGGTGAGCAAAAGAAAAGAGAGGAAAATGGGAGGGGTCTGAAGGGTTTGNCTTGATTTTAAATCCTAATAAAATTAATTAAAACTTAAATTAAGTCTTAAATCAATCTAATTTGTAGAAATAAACTTAGTTATCTATTTTACCATAATTAATTAATTTAGACTAATAAAAGAAGAATTACTAATTTGCAATTTAAAGCTAAAAAAAAAATAAAAAAATGACTCATATTTTTCGTGATTTTTGTTTAATAATGCAGTTAACTCATGCAATTAAATCCTAAATACAACTAGAACTAAAATGTTATGCACGAAATACTTTAGACATTTTGGTGTTTTTCTTATGATTTTAGCATGTTAAATATGCAACTAAATGCAAGCAACTTTTAACCAAAATTCTTACAAATTCTATAAAACTAAAAACAATTAAGAAAAAAGAGAAAAAAAAAATTTATTTGTGAATTTCTATAGAAATATTTTAGTCGGGCAAAAATCACGTGCTCACATTGTATAGGTTAACAAATTAGATGGAACCCAAGGGTTGACATCTGGTTTTTTTTTAAAGCAATTAGAACTGAAATCATGCTATTAGGTTCATAATCGGATGACATCCAGTTGTATTTTGAATTTTAAACCTCTTTTTAAGTCACCGGATGGAGGCGCCACAAAAATAAAATATGAATACCATGGCGGGTTGGTTTATTATTATTGAAATTCAGGGTTTAGAACTTTAGATGGAATGCATATGATGCTAAATATTATATTAGTGAGGTTAATATGTGAGTTGAGGAATTCTATTAAATATATGGCATAAGTTCATATTTAAAGGACGGACAATGTGTAAAATTTTGTATAGTTTAGTGGCATATCTGGCCCTTTTCCCTTGTTAAAATCACACGTAGTGATATATTTTTTAGCCAAAAAAAATTTAAGTAGAAAAAATGTGCTCCTAATGTTGGCAATCGTTATGATTAATTGTCAGCGATGGAACATCATTAGGCATTATTATTGAAGAGACACCATTATGTCAATGACGAGATATCATGATCAGATTCATTATTGTAGTTTTTCACCTTTAATTTTGCATGATTATATTCTCAACTCGCTGGTCCATGCGAGGGTACATTAAACATAACATGAAAGCATGAATGGGAATATATAAAAGTTCAGTTCACTTCGATAATTAAGTAAAGTAGAATATTTTTTTTTACAGTGATTGCAAAATACGTAACATAAATGATTTAAATCGGGAGCAGGAATTAGGAAAAATAGCGTTGTAGAAAAGCATACTCCATTGTATAACATTGACAAATCCAGGATTTTAATTTGGTTTGTGTGGGTGCTAAACATTTTTGATGTAAAGTACTATCAATCATATTGTATAAGTACAAAAGTATTGAATATGACGATAAAAAAAAATTAATAAGAAAACTCATTATTTTAATATTATGAACGCCGCAAAATTATTATGAATAAGGCAACAAACGAGGAAAAAAATAGGTGAGTTTTACCGCTCTAGAGGACCACTTCGTCTTCAAACGAACTTTGGAGTACATTTTTAAGTAGATTTTCTTTTTCTTTCTTTACAACAATAAAAAAAAGTTCAGTGTAATTTCACAAGTGAGAATCTCTCAATTTTTCTTTCTTTGTTATAGTAAATTAAATAAAGTAGAAAAATAAAAAAAATAAAAAAAGAGTTAAAACAAAAGTCAACGGAAAAAAAACTAAAAAAATAAGTAGTATTAGATCAAGATAGTAGCTAGTGAAAGAAAAAAAACTAATTGGAATGGGGCAAAAGAAAGAAGCTCGACGATATACAAGGAAAATACCTATTAAAAAGGACCTGTTAGAAGTGAGAATCTAACTCTCACGGCCAACTTTCATAGCCTTCTAGGCTCTTAGCACCTTCTCTTTACCAAAGCACCCATCAAACATTTTGTTATATTTATTTCGTTAATTTTTTAATATAATTACACATACTCTTTGCAAAGGTGAATGGGTGTTTAAGCCCCCAAATTTAATATGTAGATCCGCCCCTAACTATATACTGTATTAGAATATACAATATAGTGCTCCGTTGCAATGTAGTGTTGGGAAGTGGTAAGTTTTTCAGCGGCTAGCATGATTAGCAGCTGCTAATTTAATTTGTGCTTTCTAATTCATGAAAACCTGAAATTAGGGTTTCAATTTGAGCATGCATGTCTCATTCTATGAACATTTTGCTGGCCGCCTACTGTAGTGATATAAGTCAATTCTCTGCCGTTTTGTTTATCTTATTTATGTAGACCAGTGAAACAAATAAATAAATCTTCGAATATTTGCATGAATGATTAGTATCCATGTATTGTGTCTTGTATTATATGTAACCACATTATAACATTCTATTTGTCCCTCCTTCAACATGACAAACCACTAACTCTTAAGTTCTACTACATCTATTAGCTTAACTAAAATAGTATGAGCGGGGTGGCACGATTTTACAGTTTAGACTGATTATAATTAACAAACATTATACAGAACCTAGATGGTCTGGTTAATTAGTAACAAAAAGCTGATATAATAAAAGGATCAATTGCACGTGAATGTGGATACGTAGACGAAGCTTGTACTTTTGTTTCAACTAAACTATTTAGTGTCCGCGTTTTATTTGTCGATTAATTCAAATTCGTATTAAATTCTAAATAGGTTCATCAACAGGATAAAAATATCTATCATAGGTTCTTTAGTTTAAATTTGAATTCGAATCCTATAGTTAAAATTAGTAAAAAAAATCTCAACCATATCAGCACTTATTAATTTAATAGTATATATACTTGACAATAGTAATAAAGGGTCAATTCGTAGTTGATGGATTCTGAATTCTACTACCAATCATATCATGAAAGAATAGTACATGTTCTTTATGTACTTTAAAGAACAACATTGATGATAAAGAGTATCGAAAATCTTCTTTATCTCCGTCCTCTGATGGTGCCCCTGGGTATCCGCGTACCAAAAGTGAAAGGTCTATAATCTCCAATTCAAAACATATGGTACTGATTATTTGACACAATAATACCTTCCTCATTCTATCCATGTACGGAAAACATTTAGGTGTCGTATAAATATCTTTTTAAATAAAAGGACTTAAAGTTTACGAAAATAATTAAAATATATGGTGAACACTCCAAAGCGTTTGAGGTTGAAATTTGAAAGAAAAAAAAGAAGAAGTATTTAAAGTTGAAGTTAAAAAAAAGTACTTATTTGTAACTTGTGAAAATACGCTTAGACATGAATTTTACTTGGAAAAAAGTTAAAATTTCTTGAATAAAAGCTAAGTATTATTTTACTATGAAATACTTCTCAAATCAGTTTATCAAATTAAACTTTTTTCAAGTTGTAATTAAAATAATTGCTTAAATTGTAAAGCAAATAGTATTTATCTACAGATAATACCTAAATTTGAAACCATGTATGTCCAAACGGTTAAAGAACAACAACAACAACAACAACAAACCCAGTGCAATCCCACATGTATGATTTGAGGAGGGTAATGTGTACGCAGACCTTACCTCTACCTTATGAAGGAAGAAATGTTGTTTTCGATAGATCCTCGACTCAAGAACAGTAAAAATGACACAATAAACCAACACTGACAATGGCAAGAAAATAAGATAACAGAAACAAATAGCACAACATGTAATAGCAAAAAAACTAGGAATACAAAGCTATAAGAGAAGTGCAAAAACTACAGACAATAATGCCACGTCGTCTAACAACAAGGAACTCAGAATAGGAGAATACAAGACTAGCTAGTACTAATACTACTAGTACGACTAGAAGAAACTCTCGACTACCTGTCAACCCACAACTCTAATTCTCGACCTCCACACCTTCCTATCAAGGGTCATGTCCTCAGTAAGTTGATGTAGTGCCATGTCCTGCCTAATCACCTCTCCTCAGGACTTTCTAGGCCTCCTTCCGTCTCTCCTCTGACCCGCCATGGTCAACCTCTCACATCTCCTCATCCGGGCATCGGTGTCTCTCCTCTTCACATGCCCGAACCATCGCAGCCTCGATTCCCGCAACTTGTCTTCCACGGGGACCACACTCACCTTGTCCCTAATAATTTCATTCGTAATCTGTTCTTTCCTAGTATGCCCACACATCCATCTCAACATCCTCATCTCTACTACTTTCATCTTCTAGACATGTGATTTCTTGACTAGCCAACACTCGGCTCCATACAACATAGTCGCCCTAACTACTACTTTGTAGAACTTGCCTTTAAGTCTAGGTGGCACATTCCTATCATACAAAAAACCAAACGCAAGCCTCTAATTCATTTACCTCGCTCCAATACGATGCGTAACATCCTCGTCAATCTCCACGTTCCCTTGAATAACAGACCCAAAATATTTGAAGCTATCTCTCTTGGGGATGACTTGTGTATCAAGGGCCACCTCCGCTTTTGTTTCCTGCGTCCCCACACTGAACTTGTACTCCAAGTATTCAGTTTTTGTCTTGCTCAACTTGAAATCTTTAGACTCCAGGGTCTACCTCCACAAATCCAGTCGATTGTTAACCCCACAACGCATATCATCTATTAGCACTATGTCATGATCTGCAAATAAGATACACCATGGCACCTCCCCTTAATGTGGCGCGTCAGCACGTTCATCGCCAGTGCAAGAATTAAACTTGTACTTTATCATAACAAACAAAAAAAAAAAAGACGAGATTACAAATAACCACATAGAAAAGTGCCTTTGCCTTTTTACTTTTTTTGTGGCTTTCAAGATTAGCAAACTTCATTAGGAACCTTCACCCTAGAGTAGCACAGAATCATATTCTTTTCCTTCGACATAACACTTGAAATATAGCTTAGCTTGTCAATTAATGTGTCCTGTATATATATATAAGCGCCTTAATACCCTACAAACATTACATTGCTACAGCTTTCTAGTTCGGTTTATCAAGCGGAGCAGATGCCTATAACTGCAGCTGGAATCACTACGTTTCCACAGAGATTACGACTAATTAGGTTAGACTGCTTATTTCTTGTTCTCTCAATTGGCCTGCTTAGAAATTTTTTTTCCTTATGCATCGTACTATCTTAGTTAGTGGTACTATTAGCTCTTTAATCTTAAATCATTCACAAATGCTAGCAGGATATATATCTTCCTTGAGTTCACAATAATTGATATACAAGTACCTCAATTCTTGCAATTAGCACTGACATGACATTCTATGCTAAACGCCATCCTTAGCCTGGATATACAAACACCTATATATTTTGCATGTTGATTAACTTAATTTTGACAAATTTACTATAAGAAAAAAGAAACGTACACTAAAACTATTGGATATCTCAGATTGCTTCCAACTTACGATTCTTTTTAAACAAAAGTCACTAAACTAATTTTTGTCACTTTCTTCGGAACATAAATTTGGTGGGAAAAACTCATTAAGTTTGACCAAAAAGCCAAGTAGGGATGCCAAATAAGTTTAAACGTAAACGTGGCTTTTATCGTCAATAAGCATAGCCAAATATTTACCCTCGTATACATATATATACTTGTGACTAAAAAAGTTAGAATGGTTGATGCAGGTCACAGCAAATGCATCAAATTAAACGTAGGATGAGCAGTACGTTTTCAGGGAGGGAGGAAATATGGAGGAATGAGGAGGAGGAGGAAGAGGAGGAGATAAAGAAAGGGTCGACGTGGTGGATGCCACATCCTCGAACAGGAATATATTTTCCAGTAGGCCAAGAACGAGTAATGGATGACATACCAAATGGTGCTGCCTCTCTTCCTCAGACTTATTGGCTTAGGAGTGAAGATGGTGTTGACAAACCTGATCCTGATTTTCCCATTGCCCATCACTTTACCAATTATACGCATCGCTATTGATTTAAGGCCAAAACATTTTCCTATCTTCCAAAAATAACCAGTGCTAGCTCTTACTACTACTAAATACTACGTGACAAAATAATGTATTATTACATGGTTTCATAAGTAATCCACTGTATGTATGTTTTGAAAGAATAAATAGTCAGATACATATCGTAATACAGTCAAACTTCTTTATAATAACCTCGTTTATTCCGATATTTTTTTATTGCTATAATAAAGTGTTATTATAGATGACATATATTATAACATAATATAAAAATCGATTCCGAGCAAAACTTGACTTTTATAATGAATAAGTCCATTATTCAAATGGCCAGTTAATTATTTGAAATTACCTAGTAAAGTTTTTTTCTTTTCTTTTTTTTTTTGTAAAAAAAGTCACTTAACTATTTCTATAACACTCAAAAGCTTACTCAACTAGATTTCTCAAACTTTCGGTGGCCAAATACCTTACCCTTTAAAGTTTAAATTCATAAAGTAAAAAATGAGAAAATAGTATTCAAGCCTATATAACGCTAATGTATATTAAAAACATACATCTATCCTAAATAATTATTTTTTTGTATTACATGCATGAAATATATCCTTGATAGGACGAAGTTTTAAAGTAAGTTATATAAAATTAAATATTATTATATCTCATAAGTAGACTTGATCGAGTGAATTACACTAGGATATAGTGATTAAGAGACGCAAAGAAAAAGACAAAAAAAAACTATAAGCAAAATGCGAACCTTGCAAATCACTTGATTATGAATGAAATTACAACCACTATGAAATTGTAACACTAATCTTACACTCTCTGAATATAATAAAACAAACAAAATACGAAATAGTATTTCGTCAATATCTATTTGTTTGTCTTAATCTGATTTGATAGGACGAAATTTTAAAGTGAGTTATATATTTTATTAAATATTATTATATTGCGTAAGTAGACTTGATCGAGTGAGTTACACTAGGATATACTAGTGATTAAGAGACGCAAAAAAAAGGCGAAAAAACCACTTGACTATGAATGAAATTACAACCACTATGAAATTGTAACACTAATCTTACACTCCCTAAATATAATAAAACAAACAAAATACAAAATAGTATTTCGTAAATATCTATTTGTTTGTCTTAATCTGACTTGATAGGATGAAATTTTAAAGTAAGTAGACTTGATCGAGTGAATTATACTAGGATATACTAGTGATTAAGAGACGCAAAAAAAATAAAAAGACGAAAAAATTATAAGCAAAATGTGAACCTTGCAAATCACTTGACTATGAATGAAATTACAACCACTATGAAATTGTAACACTTATCTTACACACCCTAAATATAATAAAACAAACAAAATACAAAATAGTATTTCGTCAATATTTATTTGTTTGTCTTAATCTGACTTGATAGGACGAAATTTTAAAGTAAGTAGATTTGATTAAGTGAATTACACTAGGATTAACTAGTGATTAAGAGACGAAAAAAAAAAAGACTAAAAAACTATAAGCAAAATGTGAACCTTGCAAATCACTTGATTGGGAATGAAATTATAACCATTTTGAAATTGTAACACTAATCTCACACTCCCTGTTTTATTAATAGGAGTATGTTTTTTTAATTCCTGAATTTATTAGGAGTGTCTATTTATTTAATTTTAGATGAAATTATAAGGGGAAAAAGAGGGGGGAAAAATATAGTAGCGTAGTACTATATAGAAAAAGGACCGTTGCGAGCGAAAGGATCGGTTGTAACGGATAGTTTCCTTCAAAAGCTATACCCTCTCCTTGGAATCCAAGAGTCTCAGCCCAACAATTTCTTCACTCCCTCTTTCTTCAGAAATCAATATCAATTCATATTCAAGAAACGCTCTAATTTCTCTGTGTCTCTGCTCCATTTGATCAATTACTTTTTTATACTTCTACAAGCATAGTAAAGATTTTATTTCCATCAACTTAATTATTGGAGAATGGATTTGGGCTGTTTTGATATGGGTTGCATTGAAAAGAAGCCGATGAATGACACTGTTTCTAGTTCGGAGAACAGTCCCTCCGCTTCTACAACGGCTACTTCCAAACTCGGAAAGGTACCACCCGTTACCCTTAGGTTTTTCCAGCTCTTAGATAGTAATTCTCTTTAGTTTTAGAAGATAATTTTCAAATTTCCTTATGTGTTTTTATAGTTAGGTCTGTTTCTGATTCTGGGGGATTTTCCAAAACCCTTGTTCTTAATTAGGAAGAAAGATTTAATTTGACCCCCCCCCCCCC